GTGGAGAATGTAACTGGAAACAACTCAACTATACTTCCCAAGAATAGAGGTGGGTTCATAGATATTAAATTAACCGCTTCCTCGGCGTAGACGTGTAGATACGTTTTTACCGAAAGTATTCTTTTTCAAACAGGGACGAATAAACATGCCCAAAACATAACGTTCTAATACCAGAGACAGGCATCCTTCTTGATTCTTTTTATGCCCTTCTGGGCTTGAAACGAGTCTCATTGTCAACACATACGTCTGGTAGAGTTGTTAGCAACCTCCCGCGTACGTCGAGGTGACTCAGTTTCTGTGTTACTATATTAAAAACAAATTAAAATGATTCGTCAGAAAATGATTTTTTTTCCCAAAATAATTGGCGGGGAAAACGTTAAAGAAGTGATATTGAATTATTATTATTGTTATATGACCTACTTCAAGCCAGAAACTAGATCATCGCTGCGGATCGAGTATTAGAAAACAGAAACATTATGAACGAGCGAGAACCATAGAAGAATAAACAGGAAACTGTACATAACAACTGCTGCAGTAGATTACAGAATGGATCCTCCTGGATATGACGATAAACTACATCCGCATGCTGGGTAAGACGATAAACTACTGATCAGGAGGTTTTGAGGAGCGTGGAACCACCTCTAAATTTCTGATGTTCCCAGGGGACCTGTTAAGGTCCCAGCTATGGGCAAAATAGTTAACCCCTAAACTCGGGTAAAAACACTATGAACGTGTAAAAATAAGTTTTAATACAAAGAAATACTGTGCTAACCATCTTTTACCAGCACTAAATTTTTGAAGAAAAAGAAAGCTATTACCAGCAATACATTTTTGAAAAGATATTACCAACAATTTAAAAAAAATAAATAAATATTACTAGCAAAACATTTTTGAAAAAAGGATATTACCAGCAATACATTTTTGAAGGAAAAATTTTACCAGAAATAGATTTTTGACAAAACAAAATATTACCAGCAATAAAAATTTTGTCTGCATTAAATAACCCATTAAGGTTGATATGCCGTAAAACAAAATAAACCAAAGCAATCTAATCCAAAGAATACATACTCTATTCATACGAATCTATTCTAAAAATGTTGTCGGCATTAAATAACCCATTGAGGCATCAATATGCCGTAAAACAAATCAAACCAAACCAAACAGAATGGAAATAAAAGAGGACAAAAATCTTGAACCGCTCAAGTGAATTAAAAAGAAAAAGAGGAACGTAATGGTGGCAATATTCTAATTGTTTGGGGGGCATTTAGAATGGCCTCAGCAAAAACGCTAGAGTAGCCGTACGTCAGACGAAGAAAATTATTCATAGATACGATTAGTTTTCTATAATGTTCTGGTGGACTGAAAAAAAATATTTTCATTTGATCTTTAGTATAAACCAATATTTACTTTTCGCTTGAATATCAAATAATAATCCAAAACGTCTCGCAAAGAGGTTATACTAACTAACACTCCGAACAAAACTGAATGCATATCTCGGACAGCATTAGGAAAATAATCTTGAATAATGGTAACAATAATGTAATACTGAAAAGACCATGATTTAATCTCAAGTGAAAATTTCTGGTATGAAATCTAAATACGTATATTATTATTATTATTATTATTATTATTATTATTATTATTACATATTTTCGACCTAATTACTATTATCACTATCATTATTATTGGCATTACCAATACACAAATAAAAAAGGATTCTTGATTAGGCAATATTCTATTTTTAAAAACAAGTTGCAAATTCTGCAAATGAAATATATAACCTTGATCAGCCAAAAGGTTTAAAAGATTTTCCTATCTTATTACACTCCTCAAAGGTGAGAGCATATTCAAAGAAAATCTTCATTATTTTCTTCTGTTTTCAATATTGTCATCAAGAAACAAAATATGCCACTTTGTCAACTTTTGCTAATATGAAAAATGAATCTATGATAAAGTGGAAAAAATCTCTTTGCGCGTCGTGTTTCGCCCTTTAAGACTTCATTGGACTGAAGTGATGTTTACGTCGATGTGATAACACAAGCACATGATTAAGATGGACGCTGACATTTTCAATTATTTATTTTTAAATATATGTTTTGGTTATATAGTCTAGTCAATTTCATTCAGTTTCTTTTTATTTGTGTTTTTATCACTGTTGTTATTGAGTATCGCACATTGGGATTAATGGATGATCTGCTAAGATTGGGGAAATCTTCTAAGAACGTGGACGTAAATTTACTGTGGATGGTCTACCGATTAAGCTACGTTCTATACATTTTTTATGCATTCTAATTACAATCCAAAACGATCGTTTTGTAGAAAATTAGAACCAAAACGAAAGCCATCTAATTGCAGGAACTCAAAAATGTATTTGGCTAATTAAAAAAAAATTAGTAGATCACTCTTAGCAAAAGAAAAAAAAATGACAGGCACATACAAAAAGAAAATGTAAAAAAAATATGATGATAATTTCGGCTATAAATATCGTAGCCGCAAATGATGGGTATTTCATATATAAATTTAAACAAAAGCATCACTATTTCTCAAGATAAATCGTTTTGAATACACATGACTTTTCCATATTGTATTTAAAGTTCATCCAGACCACATCAAATAAAAATCCTGTACTTCAGAAGAGCTACAGTAACATTTTATTCTCACAAATCATAGCCCAGTAATAGTGTTTTTCTTTATTATTCATTTTTCTCCTCGTCCCTAGAGTAAAATTTTTCCTTTACGGTAATTGTGTCCGGATAATTACGACAGAGTCCTTTCATTGTTGACAGTAACGAGCAATGATCGTCTTTAGGCTCTCAGAAATGAACCTATCTATTGGCAAGGCTATAACATAGCCACACTTTATTTGCTCCATAGAAATTTGACAAGGGTAGAGTGAGATGCGATGGTCTTAAATGAGTCAAGCAGTGAGATGAAGGGAACAAAGAGAAGTTGGATTATTTTCTTGCGGTCACAAATCAAAAAGTAGCCGACGCGTGCACTTTTCAATTATAGTGGCAAGGGATAAAATAATATTGGACGCCAGGGAATCTCACCGAACAATTCAATGTAGTAGATGAAAATGAAAAGAAAGAGCAATACTGTTTCGGTTTTTGTTGTATTTTCTTAAGGACTATTTGCCTACAATACAATTATCATTAGAATTGTATATACGTGACAGAGATAAGTTAGTTTTAAAATATATTTGTATTCAGATTTTAAAAAAGTATTAGCATGTAGATATTTCGAGTTTTTGAGCAAAACAACAGCTTCAATTTTTGGCCACTATTGACTGAACTTGTAATAAGAATTTGATATTAAATATGCATAGTGTTTTAAAAGTGTCAAATAATCTTATAAATATTAGGTTGGTGCAAAAATAATGACGTAATAATGTCGTTTTTTGACGTATTTTTTTAACGTCAAAAAACGACATTCTTACGTCATTGTTTTTGCACCAACTTATACGTATTTATGATTAGAAATAAAAATACTAATGGATAAATGGATATACCATTAAGAAAGGAAACCTATTCTTTTGGTTTTAGAAAGCAATGTGCATTTAATGTATCTGATTTCTCACTGAAAACGCTATTTTGTGGAATTTTGGATACTAATCGCTATTTTGTAGAATTTCGGATTATAATCGCTATTTTATGGAATTTGTGATTCTAATCACTTTTTGAAACAATTTGGATTTCTAATCGCTATATTGAGAGAATCTGTACTTCTAATCTCTATTTTCGGGGAATTTGAAATTTTAATCACTATTTTGTGGAATTTGAGATTCTTATCGCTATGTTGGGGAATTTTGGATTCTAATTGTTATTTTGGGGAATTTTGGATTCTAGTCACTATTTTGTGGAATTTCGGATTTCGATCGCTATTTTGGGGAATTTCAGATTATAAGCACTTTTTGTGGGAATTTGAGAATCTAATCACTATTTTGCGGAATTTGGAATTATAACTGCTAATTTGTGAAATTTGGGATTCTAATCATTATTTGAGGAAATTTGTGATTTTAATCCCTATTTTTGGGAATTCGGGATTCTAAACGCTATTTTTGGGTAATTTGGGATTGTAATTCCTATTTTAGGGAATTTGGTATTCTAATAACTAATTTGAAAAATTTTGGATTCTAAACACTATTTTTGGAAATTTCTGTTTCTCATCGATATTTTGTGAAATTTTTGATTTCTGTTGCTATTTTGTGGAATTTAGGATTCTAATTGTTATTTTGTGGAATTTGGGATTCTAATTGCTATTTTGGAGAATTTATAATATTTGTATATTTTATTTGTAGCTGTTGTCTTCTAAAGATCATATCCTTTGGCCATGCATATGCAAAATCGTTTTGTTTGATAGGTTACAGTTTCGAATTTAGCTAAAATTCTGAATACACTGTGTGAGACGGACACTCTGAACTGATTCAAACAGCTTATTAAGGAAACAACACATTTTCTTTGGTTAAACTAAATTATATTTTTCTATAAAGGCAACATCTATCGCCATCTTCTCTTTTCTTGATTGCTGTTCTTTTATTGTCTTTTCTCCTCACTTCATTCACTTCCAGTAATCATTTGTGTCTTAGTGACATTATTTCTTTGATTGTGGTTAAATGAAAACTGTTGCAGCAAGTAACAAACAAGATGTAATTTACGTCACCAATTTGTACATTTGTTGCATATTTAGGATTGTATGTAAAATATCATTTATAAATTTTTTTTTATAAAATACACAAGTTACCAGTTAATATTTTCTCTTTATAACATTTCAGTTTAGGTAATAGGATCAAAAGGATAATAATATTCGATTTTCAGCTTAATGGTTTGTACCATCTTTCTCGTCTATTTCGATTTCCTATTCATTTTTCACATAAACACTTGCATTTGTTTACTACAAAATGATTGTTGAATTGGAACAATATTTAATTGATCGTTAATGTAAATCACGACTCTTTTAACAAAACGAATAATGTTCTTTGTGTGTGCGGAGAAAGCGTTTGGTCATATCACGATGAAAAATCGGTCCTCGTACGATCGCCGTAGTTAAGCAACGTCGAGCCTGGTCAGTATCAGGATGGGTGATTGGTTGGGAATACCAGGTTATGTAAGCTGTGATGTGCGGCTGGTCTAAATGATAAAAAGGCTCTTCGAGTTCCAATTCCACTCGGGATCATTATATTCACTTACAAGCAAATAACTTTAGGAAAGTTACGAATCTCCCCGTAACTACAAGTTAGCTAGTATGGTTTGTATACGTAAATCATTATTATCTCTAAAAATATTCTTATAATCTAAACATATTTTCTTATTTTAAATAACCTGTAAAAGATTGATAAGCCGTAAAAAACACAATCACTCTTATCTGAAAAGCAGTTTTGTCCTCTTTTCACCTAAAGTAAAATTTCTAAAAAAAAAAAAAATAAATAAATAAATAATGACAAAAATCTTTATATATTTTGTCTTGTGCATCCATTTTGTCTTGTATCTTTTCCGCTGTCTTTTCATTTTGAATCTGAATGAAGTTGAATCAGTTTTTAACAATGTTATCTGATATATAGTCTGCGTTTACTGAATCTGTTTTCATTAATATATGCAGCTACTTTTAGATATGCAGGCATAACTGGAAACTTCAGAAAATAAGTAAGGTAAAAATGATGAAACAATTTATTTGCACGATAATAATAAAATAATGTTATCGATGTAAATTAAAATATATAAAAAGATAATATATATATTTTGAATTTCTAGGTCTGATGAATTAGATCGAGATTACGATTCCAATGTAATAAAATATAACCATGGAATATTAGCGTTTGAGCCATTTATATATATATATATATATATATATATATATATATATATATATATATATATATATATATATATATATATTTATTTCTGAGATGAGGTATTATGTACATTATTTATATTATTCGGACTATTGTCCTCATCTTTGTCACCATATTTATTAAAACGTTTCGGCCATTGTTGGAATGTCGAACTTAAAATGTATTTCGCTCACTGGGGTAGACTGTTCTAATTCCACGTCCCATTTTTAATGGATGTCATTTGTCTCTTATCACCTGTGACATGTGTCCTTGAGGACACTTGGCACAGTCAATAAAGGCGTTGGTTATAATCAGTGACAGGATCCAAAGAGTTTGATTTCAATACCCGTTTAAAGTAGTCGAGAACATGTAGAGGGGAATTAGCAGGAGATGACTGACAACTGACATCAAGTAAACATGCCACGTGGAACTAGAACAGTCTACTCCAGTGAGCGAAATAAAGGGTTCAGTTTGACATTTCAACTACCTGAAGAAGGGTGGATCGTACAACGGCCGAAACGTTGTAATAAATATGGCGACAAAGATGAGGACAGTAGTCCGAAAAATGTAAATAATATATATATATAGTTCATTTAATTATATGTATTTTTCATACAATGAATTATGAAAGAATTGAAAGATGGAAATTACTGTTTATATTAAGAAATGGACAAAGTCCGACAATTTATTTATTAAAGACAGTTTTATGTTTAACGTTGTTTTTTTTATAGATACAAGTATTTAAGTAAATGCTCTGTTTATGATAAACAGTATTAAATAACATTTACCAGCTCGAATGTCGAAATTTTCGAAAATATTCGTCCTTTGACAAGTTCGAACCTGCATCCTATACGGAACCGTCATTTACGTTTCCGCGAAGACGCTTATAAAATTAATTTTCCATAATCTCGCCATTTACATTTGATACGCAGAGTTCGGTGAATGTACGAGATTCATGGAAGATTGAAGTTTAAAAATTCAACCTTCCACCGAACGCCCGTTGTGGCCGATCGGATAAGGCACGTCAGCGTAAATGACGGTTCCGTAGAGGATGCAGGTTCGAATCCTGTCAAAGGACGAATATTTTCTATGAAAATTTCTCGAACATTCAGGCCGGTAAATGTTATTTAATACTGTTTATCATAAACAGAGCATTTACTTAAATACTTGTATCTATAAAAAAACAGCGTTAAACATAAAAAATGTCTTTAATAAACAAATTACTGTTTGTAAAATTTATTCTATAAAGCGAATTGTGGAATTCGTAAATACTAGCCATTTAAAATTGTATGGTTCAGTTATAACATATTTAGTAGAGGAGGTAATGTTTTTGTGAATAGTATAGGCTGCGCTAGATGTAATTTCTCTCAACATCGCTAATTGCTGCAAAACGAAAACTTTAACATGAAAATTCGTCATGTTCTTCAATAACCTCGTCAGATCAAAAAATTCATATGGATATCATGAATATCACCAAACCTTTTCGCTATTATGAAAATTGTCAACTGCATGAAACCGCTTTCAATGATTAATGATTAAACGAGTGAAGCCCATGGATTTTGATGAAAACCACACTTCTTCGAACCTTACGGACAGGCACTACAAAATAGAAAATAAAAATAAAGGACTCTTTTATTTTTCATCCTAAGCAAGGTAAGACGCAAGGTTTACTGAGTGTCAGAGAATATGAGAAAAACACTATTAAGGGAAGAGAACAATAGAGGAATAGGAATTAATCAATTTATCAATTAAGAAAACAGACGATAACGATTGACATTGCATTTAAATTTTTGAAGTTCAAAGTTGACTAAGAAGCAATAAGTTAGAAGAGAGTTCCACAAGCGTTTCTTGCAATAGAAGAAACTGTTAACATAATACTTGTGGTTACAACTAGCAATTTAAACTGTAAAATGACGACAAATTGCCACCAATCTAGTACCGCATTTAAATTTATAAAATCTACGTACTATAGCGGAAAGATCAAATTTGACTGAAAAGGAAGAAGTCGGAAGAGAGTTTCCACACGCGAGACCTATAGCAAATAACAGAAATCACATCTGTTGCGTACTTTCATCATCAGCAACAGCTAAATATCTAATGCGACTCGAAGAGACAATGATGACATAATCAAAGCAAAAACAAAATCTTAGCAAGGAAATCCCAGCAATACTGAAAAATTAATAATAGCAAATGGACATGAGAAACCTATTTTCTTGGAAAATTGTTTGAAGAGAAAGATTTTATATTTTTCAACAGACAGTAGTTCTGGCTGCTCTGTCAATGAATGAGAAATGTTTCCTAATAAGGAAACGGCTAATCTTACCATTACCTAAGTAATAGATTGTGTAACCGACAAAATATACCTTTACTTTAAGGCAATATAAAAGCCTGTAGCGATACAGAAGGCAATTATTTCCCTTTGACCGAAACAAATCAGGTGAGTCACGTGACGGCCTCTTAGTGAAGTCACTTCATACAGTGAAGAAAGTGGCCAGTCTTTCAGTTTTTTTTTTTTTTTTTACAAGAGCTAAACAAAGCAGTTTTCTGTTTGGCTTGGACTGAGAGGCTAAATCTTCCTCTCCCGGCAGTTAGCAAGTCCATGTCGCCGTTCAACTTTATGAATGTATCTTCCCCATATACAGTAATCTCCGGTTAGGCGTCCTCACTTTGGTATAGCCCAACAGTCGCCGTTTACAGTCCGTGGAATATGTCTTCGCGTGGGACGTAGTAGATGAATTCAGCCCGGCATCCTAAACATGGCTTCTCCAGAAACACAGAAGTGTCTCAATATTATATAAAATACCCTATCTTTTCGTTCTCCTTTCACTCTGTTTGCTGTGTAGATATATGATATATTTCTTCTCTGTGGGTCACATGTAAATATGCATATATAGTTGTGTGTATGTCTTAATGGCATAAAGTCTCTCTGAGAACAAATAATGTTTGCATTCCGCTTTTTTTCAGACATTCCGTTCCTTTCCTGAAGTAAGGTGTTAATAATAATGGATATAATATTACGGATATAATAATGCACCTTAATGGGCGAAATACACATAGGAGAATAGATCTATCTCTCAACTTCTCCCTCTATAATGTAATATTGAAGCATAAGGAATATTATTATATTTTTAATATGGAAGGCTCGACGAGTCTGTAACGATAATGATTCCGTCCTCTCAGATTTCAACGATCTTATTTACTTTTTAATATGTAGATACAGGTTTAACATTTTATATACAAGGCATTAGTATCTGGAGAAAAGGAAAGTTTATTAAATTCTTGGTTATAATTTAACGTCAAATTACGACACATTTTCTCTAGAGTGTATTTTTTTATTTATTTATTATAAAAAATTAATAAATGTAATTTTACTCTAGAAACTAATTATCGTATAGTAGTTGGCATTTTACATTATAAAAATCACTGCAAAATCGTCTCAAACAAAAATCAACAAACATTGAATTTCATGGATATAATGTAATCAAATCCAAGTTAAATGACTCAAGTACAAACAGTTATAAAAACATTCTTGCACAAACACTCACGTCAGCTCAGAATTATCAATGACCACCATATTCTAAACACAAAGATGTAGTTATTAAGCCATAAAAATATTCACTACGCATCTGACGATCTAAAAACACACGCATATATAAACGTGTGTAAGCACTTACGCATGATTTATATTATATGTGTATATGTTTGACTTTAATGTAATTATATCTAATTTCGTGATGTGTTAACAAGATATTTCTAAGAACACTCTCTGGAATCTGACCATATATGAACTCTTTCATAATGGTCCGACTCAAATAAGCAAACATCACTGCATATTACTTGAGAGCTGTTCAACACAGACTTAGAGACTCAGAACCCGACACCCTTCTGTCGACAAATAAGAGAGGGCGGCACTTTAAAAACGGAAATCAACAAACACGAAAGGTTAGAGCAGCACGTGTCTACTTATACTTTTTTCCCCATTTTTTTTTAAATTTCTCCGATGTTTAAGAGAATCACAAGACAAAAACTGAATACCACTTTCTTTCTCTTCGATTTCCTTCCCAGTTTTCACTAGTTTTACTTCCTCCCTTATAAATTAGCTCTCACATTGACAGTCGCCACGAGGGACCTATTATAAATATTTGACAAAACTCGCTTTCAGACTTCCCGGCTTTTTCCTTACTTTTATTACGGAAGGCAGAGGTGCGAGGATGTCCGGAAATCCTTAAGAAAAATGAATAAATAAATGAAAAAAAAATGTAAAATAAGAACGAAGT